TGACTTTCTCATGAAATTCCTCTATTATCAGTACAAAAACTCCTAGGACAGAGACAGAATAAAACTTCCAAATAAGAAGGGAAAGATAACACCACTATCTCCTCAGCAGAGGAAATTAAAAGGTGCAGTAAATATATCAAAAGTATTCTCAAAGGACTATGGAAAATACCCATGAAATTAAATACACATATGTTTTGTTCTGCTCAAACACAGATATGTTCACATACAAACACTTATATACAGAGGCACATATACATTCACACACAGAGAGATATGCACCTCTGAAAAGGCAAGAAAATGGATGTTACTAAAATAGATAAAGCAACAAATGACAGAATAATGACAGCTTTCTGCCCCATGTGTGCTGCCTGACTGGGAGAAGACGTCAAAAGCACAATCTTTTAAAAACTAAATATAAGGACAGCCAAAATGATCTGGGAAAAAAAACATTAGAAAAAAAGTTAAGTGAAATGATATATTTGGTCTCATTTTTTTAAATCAAACTATTTTAAACACAACTTGTCTGTTGGACACAAACAGGTAAAAATCTCTTTATATGTATTTTTAAAGGTAATATGTTATATATTTTTAAACATTAACATTTTAGTAAGCTAATTATTTTGAGTTTGTTCAATAAAGCCTCTAACAAATGGGCCTTTTGAAACAGATAAGGAAATATGAATTTTCTAGGATAATGGCACTAGATTATATAGCCCAACACTCAGTCTGTTATGCCAACAGCAAGACATTAAATAGGACAAGTCAAATCAAGAATTCAACTTTTCCAGAACAAGGACACTGGTATTTCTTCTCTTGCAGAAGAACAGTAACAGACCCAGAGTCATTTTGGGAGACTCCCAGCCAATTCACTGTGCCCCATGTCTGTCTGGTCAGCACCATGGTGAGCACCATGTGGCTTCCCATTTCCCCCTCCCTGCAAGACCAGACACTGACTTCCAAACACTAAGGGAGGAAGCACTGGGCATGTGAGAAAGGATTAATCACAAGATCTGGGAACTCTCTGTTTTGTGTTCTCATCCCCCACCTGTTCTTGGAAACCTTATACCTTGCACAGTAAGACTGACAAAAATTGTTTTCTGAATATTGAGCTGTTAACCTTCAACTCTACAGAATTATTATTACAATTTTACAGCATAGATGAATTTCCATCTTCTGTGGGAATATACAAGTTTGATTTATTTAAAATAAGTAGACATCCTCAGTTGGGTTTCTAAACTGCAGAAAGGAGAAATTCTTTAAGAAATTTTGAAAGTCTCATTCCACTGGCTATATTAGTATTAAAATATTTTAAAGACAGTTAACCCAAATTTTAAGATTCCAAGTATGTTTTCATAAGTATTTAGAAATTTTAAGTTACAATTTTGGAACAGAGAAAGATTTCCCTGCTCCCAAATGGCAACTTAAAAACATACATACAATGTAATGTATAATTTGCCATTTTCCTAGCTTGAAAAAAAGCAAAACACTTTTGTGATGTTTACATTTCAAAGATACTGAATACAGCCCTAGTAGAGTTATGCCTGAGATAAGTATAACACATTCTTTTTTATCGTCCTGGAAACATTTATTCCCTAAAAAAGAGTGAGCAAGAAGTCAAATGTACCCAACAAGGTGACAGATAAGCCATTATCCCTTCAAAAATCAAACTGTATATTACCGAAATATGCACAAGGTGGATTTTTTTCTAGAAGGAGGATTTTTTTCAGTGACTGAGAAATGTAAAATACACCAAAACTTCTCCCACTCTACCAATGCACATCTTTCAGCTGAGTGTTCCAGAAATAGAGCATGTCTGTTGCATATTTTACATATGCATACTAGATAAAAAAGATAGAAAGATAATGTTTATGTAAAAGAACACAGTAAACTCCTTAGAAGTAGAACCCTGTGCTGTGTTTAATTCTGTCCCCCAAAAAAGATACATTTGTATCCTAATCCATAGTACTTGTGAATGTGACCTTATTTAGAAACAGTCTTGGTAAATGCAATCAAATTAAGATAAAAGTATTGGGCCCTAGGCCAATGGCTGGTGTCTGCAGAAGATGAAAGAAATTTGGGCACAGAGACAGAAGCCCCAGTAAAGGTGGAGGCAGAGATTGGAGTGCTGCAGCCACAAGCCAAGGAATGTTTGAGGTCATCAGAAGGTGGAGGGACAAGGGACTACCCTCCCCTAGAGGCAAAAGGAGCATGGTCCTGCCTACATCTTGGGTTGATCTGCAAAAGAATAACTGCAAGGGAAAAAATTACCACTCAGTTTGTGGTACTTTCTTGTGGCAACACTGGAAAATTAACACATGCCCCCTTAGTCATTATGTCACAGAAATGTAAAGGAGGATAAACAGGGCACCCCATAGATGCTATTTTCAGGTTGATCTGGGCCATTAGTTATCCCTTAATGGAAAGATATCCAGAAATTTCCACAGAGGTTCTCTCTCCTCAGGATTCTGGTCTCTAATAAGAACAAGTATTACCCATTTCCCACCGGGAAAAATGATCACTACAAGAAGTGTTCCCAAATGCAAAGAAAGATACTAAAATAACTAAAAGGAGTAATAATGCAATTTTATAAACACATGTTTAACTCAAGAACTGTATGTCATTTGTCACACGTCACTAAGATTAAAATTCAAAAGGTACACAGACAACTTGACGTACCATAACCCATAGCCTTAAATAAAAATAAATTATCTTCCTTTGGTTATAATCCTAAAGTAAAATTAAAATACCTTACCCAAAATCTCAAACTGCATTTATACCCCTGGGCAAGGTGGAGCATGATACAGCCAGGAATCTAGCAGGTTTATCTGTTTAAATCAGTGTGTAGTTGTTTCAGCTTTCAGAGAACTAGAGGCACCAGGATAATTCTAATTGTGATCTTAATAACATACTAATTAAACATAAAGTTTATTCCCTGGTATTTGGGAGAAAAGGTGTCTTCATTCAAATCTTGTCTTAAGCCCAACAGCTAGCAGAAAAAAAAATATTTTTTAATTAAAAATGTCTTTCATCAGCCTTGTTAAGGATCATAATTTAGTTCCAAAACTGACAAAATATATTCTCAAAAGTAGCTGGAATTGAATTGTGTAGAAGAAAAGACTTGAAACTCCAGGCCATCTTAGGCAAGTAAGGAAAATTCTCACATATTTCAATACAACTGCCACCATCTACTAAATTTAGAAAATTATTGCAGTTTCACAAGTATAGATTATTCCCAAATATAATTTTTTTCTCTGATTTAATGAGCCCTGCTGGGTAAAGCTGTCATCTCAAACTCAGGTTAATTTGAGGAAACCTGCTTTTTCCAGATGGCATCAAGGAGAGCACACAGCTAATATGAAATACAAAAGTCAAAGTCATCCAGTTTTTATCTGAATGTGGAGTAAAGAGCTGTTAGCCTCTGAGCTCACTTCAATCCATTTCTTAAACCACATTTCTTCTGTGGGATTCTCCACACTACTCCTACAATGTCATACTTCTCTGTCAGAATACTACTAGTTGCCCTGGAAATCTGCAATACTGCAAACCTGGCTAAACTGTTTTAGAGCAGACAAAATATGAAATAACAGCACATCCTATATCTATACTACATGAAACACCTGGTTAATGTAATGCCCCAAAGCTCACCTGTCTTCCAAATTACTTCAAGAAACTTCACTACAAATCTCCGGACAACTCCCACCTCCAGACAGGAGTTAGTCACCTGCTAAACTGCTGAATATTAAATGACATTTTGCCCTATTTCCAGTCTTCTTGCTTGTGGATGCGTAGTTGTCTCACACTTCTTTTTCATGTTCAAAATCGATGTCTTGGAAAGTATAATTGGGCATGAGTTTCTCAGTCTTAATAGATTAAGAGACTGCCTCTCTCCAAATGGTGGAACATTCTTTTTTTTTTTTTTTTTTTTTTTTTAATAGAGGCATTTTTGTTTATTTATTTATTTATTTGTTTGTTTTTTGTTTTTGTTTATACATGCACTGAGTACAGTCAGAAGCGCGGGAGGGTGAGAGAATTCACCAGAGCCAGAGTGGGGAGCAGAGCAGGCAGGCAGAAGGACCGAAGTACACTGCTGAGGGGAGCAGCGGGCAGCAGGAGAGGTCTGCGCGCCATGTGGGACCCTCCTCCGGTGGCCGGGGAGCAGCCGGGGATCGAACCGGCGCCGCAGAGGCTGCGGGCAGCTTCGCAACCCAGCGCTCAACCGCTGCGCCACCGGGGAGGCCCTGGTGGAACATTCTAACCCAGGGATGGTACTAAAGGGGAATTAGTAAACATTACCAACCAGAGTGGTGTTATGAAAACACAATGCATGTTAAAACTTCCATCCAAGAAAACAGGGTGAGGAAAATCAAGTTTTCCATTTAAGCCAATATTTTCAACCCATTCTGCACACTGAAATCATCAAAGCACTCTAAAAATGTTGACGGCAGCTCCCACCCTACACCAACTGTGAATTGCTGGAAGGACTTGGGCATTAAGGTTTTTTAAAAGCTTCCCAAGGTGATTCTAATGTTCAACTGTAGTGGAGAACCTCTGATGGAGACCAGGGGTCAGCAAGCCTTTTTGGCTAAGGGCCAGATCGTAAATGTTTTAGGGTTTGTGGGCAGTTAGTCTGTCACATCCACTCAACTCTGCTGCTGTGGCACAGAAACAGCCACAAATAATATATCAATGCGCAAGTGTGGATGTGTCCAATACAGCGTTACTGAGGAACACTGAAATTTGAATAGTATGTAACTTCTACATGTCACCAAATGCGGTTCTTGTGATTTTATTTTTTTTCAAGCATTTAAAAATGCAAAGACATTCTTGTAACAGATTGCAGGTCACACAAATCAAATGGGAAGCCAATTGGTCTGGATCATAGTTGACTGATTCCTGGTCTACAGTGCAGATTGAATACACTTCTCCTGAATCTTTGCTCAAATACATTTGCTCAGTGACCCAATTAGTCCTAGAATAGATCCCCTTTATAGCGTGGATACCTTCAGATTCGAGTTGGTCCAGACTATATGAGGCAGCTGTATTAACACGGCTTACGGACGGAACATCAGTTCTTCCCTCAGAAGATGCCCATTGGGAAATGCTGAGTGCCTCCTCTGTGATTCCAGGGGGCGTCATGGGAGGGCCTACGATTGGTGTGAAGAACTCCTCACTTGGCCTTGTGACTGTGTCCATTGGGTCTGCCAAACACAAGAAACAGAGCTTGACTCTAAAATGATCATTATGATAAATGTGCACCTGTGCTTTTACTTTTTAAGCAGAAATGATTAATGAACCAATATCATAGATACATTAAGCATGGCACTTAAATCAGCCTCCTTCCCTACTCAAGACAAATTCTTTATCTTCCAGAAAAACACATTTCTCAAGTCAGAAATCTGTCTTTTAACACTTAATTTTCTATTTAGTCTACAGACAATGTTCTGGCTTTTGCAGGATTTTATATAATTTTTACCAAAAGTAGAAATTTTTTTTAGTTTATTAAAATATATTCCAAAGACTACTTTTATTATTACTTAAGTCAATGAGTAAGGGCCTAGAATAAATGTTTGGAATATATTGCTCATTTTCAAAACAGCCAAATAAAGCCTGAGGTCTTCCCAAATGTAAAAACTCTAGAATAGAGTGTTTTGGAAGCCTGATTGATCATACAATTTTCTGAAGGTAATTTTTTAAATGCTGATTTTCATGCCTTCCAAATATCTCACCATATTGCATCAGAACCTCTCGGAGGTAAAGACTGAAAACTATTTTTAAATGCTCCCAGGTCTGTTGCTGTGATGAATAAAATTTGGTGCAACCCCTTTGGAAAACTATAAGGCATTGCCTCCTAAAGTCAAACACTCATATACCCTAAGGCCTAGCAATCCCATTCCTACGCACATACCCAAGAGAAACCCCGACAATGGAGAACATGTCAAAGAATTTTCATGACAGTAATCATCATAACAGCCAAACCTGGCAATGCCCCAAATGCAAATCATTAGGAGTGACTGCATGAATAAACGATGATATACTTTCATAATGGAATATTATAAGCAGTCCAAACAAAATAATCACAATAAATCTTAGCCATAGAATATTAAGTAAAAAAAGTCCTAAAAAGGCCATCTATAGTATGATACTGTTTTTATAAAGTCAAAAACAACTAAAAATTTTAAATGTATACTTTTTTTAATATTTTATTTTATATAATTCTTACTTTTTTTATTTTTGTACAATGTATGCATTTTTCATTTTGGTTATATTCCCCATACAATTGCACCCCCCCTTATTTTGACCCTAATTCTTCCTCTTCCTGCTCCCTCCCCCTGTAGTATGTCTCTGGTTTATAGTTGCTTGTTGATTTTGATTTTTACTTTGATATAATTAGTCTTTTTCCTGGTCCCTTATTTAGGTTTTCTAAATTCCTGCTATGAGTGAAACCATCTAGGATTTTTTCTTTTTCTTTCTGACTTATTTCACTGAGCATGAGCCCTTCCAACTCCATGCATGTTGCTGCAAATTGCATGAGTTTATCTTTTTTGATTGCTGAGTAATATTCCATGGTGTATATGTACCACATCTTCTTGATCCAGTCATCGATTTTGGGCATTTGGGTTGTTTCCATAGCTTAGCTCTTGTAAATAGTGCTGCTATAAACATAGGGGTGCAAGTGCCCTTTGGAATTAATGTTTCTGTGTCATTTAAATGTATACTTTTAAGAGAAAATATAGATGCATTAAAACTAAAAGAAAAGGAAGTCAAGGAAATTATGGCTACAAGATTCATAATGACAATAACATTCAGAGAGAGAAGGGGATGAGATGGGAAGAATTGTTGGGTTAGTTAGGTTACTGATAAAGCTATTCTTTAGGGGAGAGGGAGACAATCTTGCTGGCAAGATTGTGGAGAAAAGGCAACCCTAGTACACTCTTAGTGGTAATGTAAATTGATACAACCACTATGGAAGTGCCTCAAAAAATTAAAAATAGGGGCCTCCCCGGTGATGCAGAGGTTGAGCGCTGGGTTGCGAAGCTGCCCATGGCCTCTGCGGCGCGGGTTCGATCCCCGGCTGCTCCCCGGCCACCAGAGGAGGGTCCCACATGGCGCACAGACCTCTCCTGCCGCCCGCTGCTCCCCTCAGCAGTGTGCTTTGGTCCTTCTGCCTGCTCTGCTCCCCACTCTGGCTCTGGTGAATTCTCTCACCCTCCCGCGCTTCTGACTGTACCCAGTGCATGTATAAACAAAACAAATAAAATAAATAAATAAAACATGCCTCTATAAAAAAAAAAATTTAAAAAAAATTATAAAAAAAAAAATTAAAAATGGAACTACCATATAATCCAGCAATGCCACATGTGGGTTTCTATCCCAAGGAAAAGAAAACAGAATCTCAGAGATATGTGTATCCCCAAGTTTACTGCAGCATTATTCACTATAGCCAAGCCAGAGAAACAACGTAGGTACCCATCAATGGAAGGATAATGAAGATGTGGTATAAAAATATAATGGAATCTGAGTCAGCCATGAGAAAATAGGAAGTACTGCTGTTTGTGACAACATGGGTGGACCTTGAGGGCTTTATCCTAAGTGAGATAAGTCAAACAGAGAAAGACAAAGATTGTATGTCTCACTTATATGTAGAATTTTAAAAAGCCAAACTCAGAGAAACTGAAAACAGAATGGTGTCTACCAGGGGCTATGGGGAGGGAGAGAGGAGGGGCAGGATGATGGAAATGGAGATATATTGGTCAAAGGAAAAAAGTTGAGAATCTAAACTATACCATGGTGATTATAGCTAATAATAAAATATTATATATTTGAAATTTGTTAGGAGACTAGAACTTAAAATTTCTCACCACATGGGAATGCAAACTGGTCCAACCTCTATGGAGAGATGAGTGGAGAACCCTCAAACTACTAAAAATGGAGCTACTGTATGACCCAGCAAGTCTACTCCTAGGAATCTACCCAAAGGACACAAAAATATTAATCCCAAAGGAAAACTGCACTCCTATGTTTACTCCAGCACTATTTACAATAGCTAAGATATAGAAACAATCTAAATGCCCCAAAACAGATGACTGGATCAAGAAGATGTGGTACATATGCACAATGGAATATTACTCGGCAATCAAAACAGATAAACACATGCAGTTTGCAGCAACATGGATGGAGCTGGAAGGCATTATGCTCAGTGAAATAAATCAGAGGGAAAAAGAAAAATATCTATAGTTTTACTTATAGGAGGAACATAGGGAAGCGAAACAAAGGGCTAGGGGAATAAAAGACAAAACTAGCACGCAAACTATAAATCGGAGACATTTTGCAAGGGAGGGAGAGGGAGAGGGGTCAAAAGAGGGGGAAGAAGGGAAGAGAATAAGGGTTGATGCTCATGGGTGATTGGTGGTGGGTATTTTATGGGGACTACACCTAAGAGGAGAGATCAAACATTGTGCAAAAATGAACAACGATGGAGGGCCTCCCCGGTGGCGCAGCGGTTGAGCGCTGGGTTGCAAAGCTACCCTCAGCCTCTGCAGTGCCAGTTCGATCCCTGGCTGCTGGGCAAGGGTCCCACATGGCGCACAGACCTCTCCTGCCGCCCGCTGCTCCCCTCAGCAGTGTACTTCATCGGTCTGCCTGTTCTGTTCCCCCCTCTGGCTCTGGTGAATTCTCTCACCCTCCCACGCTTCTGACTGTACCCAGTGCTTGTATAAATAAATAAATAAATCTTTAAAAAAAAAAAAAAGAACAACGATGTAAAACAAATATGCACACACACATGCACACATATAAAGTTCTCACCACAAAAAAGAAACAGCAATTATGTGATCTGATGGAGGTATTAGCTAATGCTATAGTGGTAACCATTTGTATTAAACAAATGTATCCAATCACCACACTGTACAGCTTAAACTCACATAATGCTATATGTGAGTCATAACTCAATAAAGTTGGAATAAATACAACATCGAAGGACCTCCTATATAAAAAGCACTTTGTGTACATTATTTTAAACACTTAAAATATGCTATAAGACAGGTAGGCATTAGTTAAAGATAAATAAACCTCTAGGCTTAGCCTTACCTGAGCCCTCAATACCAGCGAGGGCCAAAGCTGGGATTCAAACCCAGTCCTGAATCTTTTTACATTCCCCTTCACCCCTCCGCCCTTCACAACCACAGTTGCCAAACTGTGGAGAGTTCTGAGGATGTCTGGCCTTCAAGGACCCCAGAGAAGAACTATCAGGAGATTTTATTGTACTTGGGAGCCAATTCCTCATCCTTTAGACTGCACCCACGTCTCTGCAAAGGACAGTTCACTTACCTTTCCAGACTACGCCGTGTGTGTGCATGCGCGCACTGGTGACAGGGCTGTAGGCCTCATTCACCCTGTTTCTTATCAACTCATAGAAACCATCCACCCCCAAAACACTGAGGCCAATGACCTCCCTTCCAGACCTTCTACAGCAGGAGTGACTTGGAAAGAAAGAGGCACGGCTGTAGTAGAAATTGCAGTGGCCAGAGGCTCCCTTTGTCTCGACAGCTGCGTAACACCAGGAACATAAGATGTGGCAGAGGGGGGCTCCTTTCCTTCCTCAGTGTCGCCATTTTCTTTGGTAACCCCGAGGGTAGAAACCTGCTGCTCTTCTGTCACAGCTGATAAAGTGGCTTCTGCTTCTTGAACAGCTGTTGTCATCTCTTGGGTGATAATGTCTTAAAAGGGAAGGGATGGGGGAATCACATTTTAAAATAAACAAAATCACTATACCTTAAAAAGTTACTATATTATAATAGAGTGGGGGATAGGGGAAGCAGATAGCTACTTCAGGGATTAGGAAGGCAAAGAAATTGCTCAGAAATAAAGTATCAGTAAATATTTTCAGTGTCACTGCTTTTCGGGAGCAGTGAATCAATTTAAGACAGATAAGGAAGCTAATACAAACATGTACAATAAGATCCAAAACAAAATAAGAAGATTAATAGCTGAGCCCACTATTAGGTATGTTTGAATGTCAACATAATCAGTTTGTTAAGGAACAAATTATACGGAACTCAGCTACACTCAAAAGTTCTCAGAAGCATTTGTACATACTAATTTTCACATTTGCATTCCTAAAAGGGAAAGGGAAGTAACCATTTTAAATTAATGGAATAAAAACTACAATAACTAAGGTTTACTGAGTTTCTGTTATGTACCATACACACACACCACTAAGTGCATGGTAAGCAAGATCTCCTTTTATCCCCTCACATGTATTAATGGGAGGTACATGGAAACCATGTATCACTGTGGTCAAGAATATGACCCCTAGAGCCAGTTTGCCTGGATCTGAATTCTGACCCAGTCACTTACTGACTGTGGGATCTTGAGCAAATTAATATCTGCTCTGGGCCTTGAGTTCCCTCAGATGTGAAATGGAAATAATGATAGTATCTATATCAGAGTTGTTACATAGATTACACTGATAACGTGTAAAACATTTAGTACACTCCTGGTACGTGGTAAGCATGAGGTAAACATCAGTGATTATTACCCTATTTTGAAGAATAATTCAGGTTTAGAGAAGCTAAGGAACCTGCCTTAAGAGTCCTAGTCAGTGTTCTTAACCACTATGCTGACTATACTCATCAGTGGGTAAGGAAGACAGAGTGATAGTCTAAGAAAGAAGGAAATCCACTATTACTCAAGACAACTTAAAGTGGGCTATGTAGATTTGCTTTTGCTTTTAAGAGAATGAAATAAACCTTTCTAATGGCCCTACTTTCTTTACATTAGAGTTCCCTGAAATGTTATTAAAGACTATTTATGAGTCAGTATTTGCCCCCTTTTTTAGGGGTTTGCTGCAAATACTGAACCACAGCCAAAACTTAATTTCTAATGCCTATTATTTCTCATTTTAAAAATACTAACTCTAGATACATAGCATCTGAGCAAGTCCAGTGAAAAATAACATTTCAGGGACAGCTGATAGTTTTTTCAAAAATTTTATCAATAATATCAAGATACTTCTTATAAAAATATTTTCCCTTGGAAACTATCTGCTTTTAAATGGTGTTTATTTTTCAATATAAGTAGTTCCTCTTCTTGGTCCCCATTCATTTTAAACTGCTTTTTCTTTTGAATTGAAGGGATTTTTACATTTGATGGGTTACAGGTCAGTATGACTGAGGGTAAATCTCTTACATGAGCTTTATATTTGCTATTTGTGCTACTATTTAGGTTTTTTCTTTCTTTTGTATTTCTCCAGTAACCTTGTAAATCTCTTTAGAGCCCAAGTCATTGTGCTTTCGTATCTCCAGCACATAGGTTAATACTTTGCTTGCCAGCAAAAGATTATAATATATAGTTTTATCATTTTAGGCAGTATGTATTCTCCAGATTGCCCTCATTTTTGAAAACATAATGAACACTTTTGAGAACAAATATGTAAAAATAAATGTACAATCTATGGTCACAATTGTATGAAGCATCAAGCAATGGCAAAATGGCATGATACTCTGAATAAGTGACTGTGATAAGAGAAAGGAGAGAACTAGAATAATGGAATTTTATTAAAAAAATTCCAATTTTTTCTACATCTCTCATTTTTCCTACTTCCCACAGAGAAAAAAAGTAATATATTAATTATTATAGGTTGCTTCTAAAATCTCACATTCCAGCGAACAAGCTGAAGAACACATTGAATCAGAGGACTGACCATAACTCAAGATACTCATCTGTTCACTATACCCAAATCACCATGAAATCATCGCATAGCCTGAAGAAAATAATGTCCTATGTCATCCCTGGCCCTAAAGTGATTGGCATATGAGTTGTTAACTTCAGGAAAACCATGGAATATATGAGTTTTTTGGCTATTCTCTAACCATTGTTGTCAATAATTTATTTTCACATTCTTTTTATAACCCCAGAAGACAAAAAATTAAAGTAAAAGAAATGACATGACTTTCTCTGAAAAACTTTTTGATTAATTTGGAAAAGGCAGACAGTCAAATTGGATAATTCCAGTCTGAATGGTTCTCTATCTTCACTTACTCATACACTGAATAGGTACCACGCACTGCACAATATGCTGGGAATAAAAAGAAATGACTTGCAGGCCAATGGAACCCGATAGAGAGCCCAGAAATAAAGCCACACTTATATGGACAACTAATCTTTGACAAAGGAGCAAAGAATATGAAATGGAACATGGACAGTTTGTTCAATAAATGGTGCTGGGAAAACTGGACCACCACATGCAAAAAAAGGAAACTAGACCACTACGTCTCACCGTGCGCAAAAATCAACTCAAAATGGATAAAAGACCTGGACATAAGACCTGAAACCATAATATATGTAGAAGAAAATATAGGTAAAACACTACAAAGCATATATCTCAGTAACATCTTTAAAGACTCATCACCCAAGGCAAAGAAAGTCAAGGAAAAGATAAACACCTGGGATTACATCAAACTGAAAAGCTTCTGTACAGCAAAAGAGACATTAGCCAAAACAGAGAGACTCTCATGGATTGGGAAAAAAATTTTGCACTCCATACAACTGATAAGGGACTGGTCACAAAGATATACAAAAAACTCACACAACTCAACAAAAACAGTAAACAATCCAGTCAAGAAATGGGCAGAACTTACAAGACATTTCTCCAAAGAGGAAATGCAAATGGCCAACAGGCATATGAAAAGATGTTCAACATCCCTTATCATCAGGGAAATGCAAATCAAAACCACATTGAGACAACACCTTACACCAGTAAGAATGGCACATATTAAAGAAAATAGCCACAATAAATGTTGGCGAGGATGTGGTGAAAAAGGAACTCTCCCACATTGCTGGTGGGAGTGCAAACTGGTCCAACCACTGTGGAAAGCTGTCTGGAGGTTCCTCAGTCTACTAAAAATGGAGCTACCATACGACCTGGCAATTCCACTATTAGGGATCTACCCAAAGGACACAAAAACAGTGATTCAAAAGGGCACCTGTACCCCTATGTTTATTGCAGCACTATTTACAATAGGTAAAACCTGGAAATAACCCAAATGCCCAAAAGTAGATGACTGGATCAGGATGATGTGGTATATAAACACGATGGAATATTATTCAGCAATCAAAAAATATAAACACATGCCATTCGCAGCAACATGGATGGAGCTAGAAGGAATTATGCTCAGTGAAATAAGCCAGAAGGAAAAAGAAAAATATCGGATGGTTTCACTTATAGCAGGAATATAGGGGAACCAAATAAGACATCAGTGTAAAAAACTAATAACAGTACAAAACACAACAAAGCAAAAACAGACAATTATAAATCAGAGACATCCTGCAGGGGAGGAGGAGGGAGAGGGATCAGAGGGAGGGAGGGAGGAGCACAGGGGACTGAGGTTATGGTGCACAGGTGCATTGGTGAAGGAAACTCTTTGGGGACTACACCTGAGGGGGTGGGGGAAGCAAATATTGTTTAAAAATGAACAATGATGTAAAAAAATTTAAAAAGAGAAAATAAAAAAAGAAAATTCCAAAGGCTTTAGGAGCTCTGTGCCAGAAATATGGCAAAAACTAAACACTTATTCTTATGATAAATTCACCCCTCCTCAAACAAAAACCTAATGTTATAGAAATGCTTTAATAGCTTTACAGCAATCTATTCAATTTTCTATTGGCTTTCCAGAAAATTAATAAATAGGTTTTTGTTGTATTTTTTTTAACTGTTGCATTCAACTGAAGTGTTGGAAACACCTACGTTAGCTTGTGACAATAATTGAATAGTCTGATTTTCTTTAAAAAAAAGGGGGGGTGGGGAGCCTCCCTGGTGGCGCCAACTGGTTGAGCACAGCACTGTGAAGCTATCCGCAGCCTCTGCAGAGCTGGTTGGGTCCCAGCCAGCCTTGGAGCAGCCCACATGACGAGCAGACCTCTCCTGTCTCACCTGCTGCTCCCTCAACAGTGTATTTCATCGGTCTGCCTGTTCTGTTCCCTGCTCTGTCTCTGGTGAATCCTCTCACCCTCCCGTGCATCTGGCCTGTACCCCAGCTCTTGTGTAAATAAACTAAATCTTAAAAAAAAAAAAAAAGAAATGACCTGTTTGAAGATTGTGGTTAATGGAGGCAATCACAGATGAATAAAGGGCACATTTAAAAATCAAAATAGCAATCAATTAGCAAACCTCTTTGGCTGTATTAATATAAGCAGGGAGTACAGAATCAAGACAGCAGTGATTTACTTGGGCTCACTCCCTCTTATTTCTAGTTGAATTTCTTTTCAGTAAAACAAAATTAAAGCAGTCATTTGGCTATTACTATGCGATAAATATTTTGCTAAAGCTTTTTGGGTGAGAAATATCAGGGCCATAAGTATTTTTTAGAATGTGTAAATAAGTTCCTAAATTGTTTATTGTACCATTTAAACATGTAGCTTAATTCACATTTTCCTGTATCTCTATACTTTTTCATAATAAAAGATTTGAAAAATATCAGTCTGTATCAGGGTTTCTCAACCACAGTACTACTGACATTTTGGCTCAATAAATCTTTGTGGTGGGGGCAGAGAGTGTCATCCTTTATCATGAGGGAGGGGGGTGCTGTCCTCTGCATTGTAGGATATTTAGTAGCATCCATCATCTCTATCCACTAAATGTCAGAAGCACTGCTCTGTTATACAACCGACAAAGTCTCCAAACATGGACAAACTGAATACATGTTGGGTGGGGAAGGGGACTGGCTCCCAGCTGACTACCACTGACCTATATGCAGAGGTTATATTTTGATATAATTTCTATATAATATGTTTTACTTGTGTACTTTTGCTTTTCATTAAAACATTGATAATTTGGGGCCTCCGCTCTTGGTGCAAGCGGTTAAGCACCACAATATAAAGCAATCCGCAGGCTCTGCAGGACGAGTTTGATCCCTGGTCAGTCAGGGAGCAATCCACATGGGGCAGCAGACCTCTCCTGTCTCACCCGCTGCTCCCCTCAGCAGTGTATTTTAGTCAGTCTGCCTGTTCTGTTCCCCGCTCTGTCTTGGTGAATCCTCTCACCCCCCGCATCTCTGGTCTGTACCCCAACTCTTGTATGCATAAATAAATAAATCTTTAAAAAAAATAGATAATTTACTTCTAGATATAAAAACATTTTTAAAAAACCATAAAACTAAATTGAAACATTCCAAATTAAACAAAGCTTATTTTTCTTTCTTATTCATGCTTTTTTTTTTTTTTTTTTTTTTTACCTTTAAATGTATTTTCCAATGACTGATAGACCTCAGACTCATATTCTGAGATGGAAACAGTGGTCTCTAAGAAAAACATGGTATTGCTTTCTTTGGTGGATTCCACGAAGTCTCCCGTATTTTGGAGCAGACTTACAACAGAAACTTTCATGTCTTCCATTGGACTCGTGGGAGCAAAGGAACTTTGATCTGAGAAGGCAGACGCTCTGTTATCCCCATTCACTACAAGCAGGGCTGTCCCTGTGTGTGTTTCCCTTTCAGGCAGCCCCTGGGTCCCCTCTGCAGCCTCTGTCAAAGGCTCACCCCCTTCCATCCTGGTATCAGTTACTTGTGCTGTCTGAGATGTTTCCATTCCCACCTGAGTCTCTGTGTTGTCTCCAAGCTCTGTGGTCTTTATCTGGTTTACACTCTCTAATTTGGTATCATCCCACTCATCACTTAGGACAGAGGCAGCTGGAACAGTTGTGCTGACACTCACTGTGACTTCTGGGGCTCCCAGCAGGCTGTCAGTTTCCGGCTTAACACTCAAGGTGTACTCAGGGGTTGCAAGCCAGAGCTTAGTGGCAGAACCCTGGGTGTTATCAGCTGTCATCTGTAAAGGCATCTCTATATTTGGTGTGAGGTTTCCAAGCTCAGTGCCAACTGTGGGTTCAGCAACAGGAAAAGAAGTTGTCCTATATTTTGTGTCTACTTCAAATTTCTCAGTCCGTGGCTTGGTGGTTAGCATTTCTTGAGTATTCACATAGGATGAAGGTAAATATCCCAAACTAACTCCTTCCTGACTTTCAGTTGCAAACAATTGAGTATCCACATACTTCAGAAAACCTTGAGCTGCTTCTGTGGTCACTTCTACAATAGGCTGAATTGTAGAAGGGTTCCTGAAGGGAACCCTACTGAAGGGTTCCTCTTTCTCATCAACATTCAGAGAAACAGTCGCGGTGACAGGGTTGGTTAACGTGGCCTTGGAAAGTCGGTTTCCAGGAGACACTCTCTCTGGCTGGCTGGAACCAAACACTTCTTCCCCTGCTGGCCCAGTAGCAGTGAAAACACCAGGGCTACTAGGCTGCATGAGCCCAGCTTCCATGAGCTGGGTTTCTCTGTTAACAGAAAATACTGTATTTAATGGGACTGCTGAGGGTCCTGTTAATACTAACATTGGATCCTCGGAGACCACCAGTTGGGATGTATACTCTGAAGTAATGGAGCTATTTTCTAGGTCATCAGTGTCCATCCTCTCAGACTGCCCTTCGTCATCATGAACAAGGGCTATCTCCCCTCTTTCCATCCTGGGAAAGGCCAGACATTGTGTGGCAAAGTTGAGAAGTAGGAGGCTACAGACAGCCAGACACAAGTGCGACACAATTGATCTGCTCATAGTGGAAGAGAACTGTGCACTTAAGTTGGCAGAGTTGACAATTCCAGTAATTGAGTCCTGCAGGAAAATGAAGCATACCAAACTGTCATCTATTTTGTAATACGCAGCTTGAAATTAGACCATAAGTAAAATAATCTCTTTCATTTCATGCTCAGAGATGGCAAGAGAGGACTGTTCTATTTCTTTGTACCTTTGAGACATGGATAACCCAGTTCATTTTTCCCTGATGAATTCTGCAGCTGATTTAACTTGACTCTCTCTAGAAAAGGTACACACAGTTCAAGTACTAAGTTCATGAGTCCTTAAATACCTACTTGAAATAAACTACCCTTGAAGTCACATTTCAATATTCTCCCCAAATTCCTCTAGTAATCATGCGGTCAAATGACTGCTGAAATAGCAACAGTGCAAGAATATAGAAAGATGAGATTACATTTACTTATAATCAAAGGCCATTTGAAGTGTGTTTTAAAACTTATTAAATATCGTCATAAAATAGTGAATACCAGTTACATTCAAGTGTTTTTATTAATTATATAAATATTTTCAATTAATAGGTCTTTCAAATGATTATTCTCTGCAATACTATAAAAAGTACTGGCAAAACTTTCATTTTTCAAAATTTAAGAATTAGAAAAGGCAAAAATGTTCATGTAAAAATAAATATATTTTTAGAAAAAATTAACATTTAATTTAACATGTTTTTAAATTAGCAATCTTTACTGAACATACATTAGTGTAAGATTAAGATGATTTACATACTTTTAAAAACTAATCACACTCTCTCACTACAACTAAAATTATACCAAAACTACTAAGTTTGCCCCAAACTTAAAGGTTTTAGTTCCTCTTATCTATTTTGCTGAGTAGGGTCCTTCTTTTCCTATCATCAGAAATTTCTCAGCTCTTGCAGTCTTTCTACATTAAACCTAGGAATTAAAATTTCAAAATAAAAACCTTATCTTTATAAAGTTATACTTTTTTCCCAATACCTAATCATTAAATTATCTGGGCTAAGCATATCATGTGCTGATATAAACTCTGAGAACTTACACTGTACAGGGATTTCTCTCTGAAGGAGCTCAAAACTCCACATGATCACTTTAGTCTCTTTAAGACAGAGAAAAGGTCAAGTTCTTTGGGCATAATCTAGATGGCTAAAGAGAAAAATAAAGCTAGATGTCTCCAGCTAGAAAAATAAAGCTAGATGAGGAAAGAGGAACCCATGGAGCAGAGGATTCTTGCCAACTACTACTTGCCACATGAATGGATCATCCTGGAAGCAGACCCCACCAATCCCAGGCAGGTCTTCAGAAGACTACAGTCCCCGCTGACATCTTAGCTGCATCTTTTTGAGAAAACTTCAGTCAGAAGCACCCAGCTATGCTACCCACCCCCAATTCCTAATGCACAGAAATGGAATAAGGTAATAAATATCTATTGCCACCAAGTGTTGGGCTAATTTGTTACAAAGTAATCTGGAATCCACAGTACTTTGGGAAAATACAGGAATGGATGCTGGCATGAGTCATGGGGTCATGTGCAGAAAAAGAACAACATATCAGGAATCATAAATTTACAGCATAAGAAATCTAAAACTCAGAGGTGTCTAGAAAAATATAAGCACCCTTGCATCCCACAAGAACGCTCTGAGAGCGAGAAGGATGCTCCCATATATATGCCAAAGATTTGAAACAATTTTATTTAAATATTGGGGCCTCCACGGTGGCATAGCGGGTTGAGCGCAGTGCTGTGAAGCTGTCCGCAGCCTCTGCAGTGCAGGTTTGATTGCTGGCCTCCCAGGGAGATACCCATTCTGCTCCCTGCTCTGTCTCTGGTGAATTCTCTCACCCTCCCGCGCCTCTGGCCTGAACCCCAGTTCTTGTATAAATAAATAAATCTTTTAAAATAATAATAATAAATATTAAATTGCACACAGGCAGCTTGTTTTAAAAGGAGGGAATATGGAAGAGAGATTTGTTTCAAAAAGGGACTAGCGAGTGCCAAGGCATGCCAACATTCAGGACATTCATGATCACAACTTCAGACACACCATAGAGCAGCCCAATTCACAACCTGGGTTGGCCTGCTGCCTCTATTTTCCTCCCTAAAAGCAAAAACATAGGAGTTATAAAGCTAATGTTCCCACAGTTGAACGATGAAACTTTATAAAGTTGAAGAACATAAAAGCTACAAAACTCTCTTATTCACTTTTTTTTTTTTTTTTTTGAGATTTATTTATTTATACAAGCACTGGGTACAGTCAGAAGTGCGGGAGAGTGAGAGAATTCACCAGAGCCGGAGCAGGGAGCAGAGCAGGCAGAAGGACCGAGGTACACTGCTGAGGGGAGCAGCGGGCGCTGCAGGAGAGGTCTACGTGCCATGTGAGACCCTTGCCCGTGGCCGGGGATCGAACTGGAGCTGCAGAGGCTGCGGGCAGCTTCGCAGCCCAGCGCTCAACCGCTGCGCCACTGGGGAGGCCTTCTGTCGTTCACTTTTGATCAGTTCAGAGAACTGCCCTTTCTTAAACAAATATTTTTTTCCATTCAGTGAAATCTTACTAAAAACCCCAGATGTTGGAGGGTATGGCCTAAAAGCTGAGTCTACATGATTCCATGCTTCTGGATAAAAACCTGAAAAAATACTGACCATCATGAGTGGCAACAGTTTGGAGGAACTTGAAGTAAATAGGCAAAAAATGATTCCTGAATAGCTTTATTGTTTTTTAGGACATGCAATGTGATACTGGACAAATGTGTCCTTTTACAAAATGAGGAGTCAATCAAAATAATCTTTGACAGGGGAAGGAAGAGCACAAGGGACTATGGTGAAGGTTCACAGGTGAGCTGGTGATGAAAATTTTACAGGGAATATGCAATGATGTAAAAGATATAAATAAAAAATAAATAAACTATGAAAAAAAGCAAAATAATCTTTGAAATTCCTTGTACCCACCCTGATTCCATTTTCATACTTTATCTAAGTACATTATGTGAAATAAGAATACAAATGTTTTCATATTCCCACAATTTTGCCATTGAGTAGGCAAGGCACCCAAATGATTGAACATATGCTTCACGTTTTATTTATATGTTTTGGTGTCATGAAAACTGAAAAAATAATTTTTGAACATGGGGCCTCCCTGGTGGCACAGTGAGTTGAGCGCCGTGCTGTCTGCAGCCTCTGTAGTGAGGGTTCGATCCCGTCCGGCCTGCGAGAATCCCACATGGTACTGCAGACCTCTCCTCTCTTGACCGCTGCTCCCCTCAGCAGTGTATTTCGTCAGTCTGCCTGTTCTATTCCCCGCTCTGTCTCCAGTGAATCCTCTCACCCTCCTGCGCCTCTGGCCTGTACCCCAGCTCTTGCATAAAAATAAATAAATCTTAAAAAAAAAAAAAAAAAAAAAGATGGGCCTCCCCAGTGGTGCAGCGTTTGAGCACTGGGTTGCGAAGCTGCCCGCAGCCTCTGCAGCGCGGGTTCGATCCCCAGCCGCCGGGCGACGGTCCCACATGGCGGCGCAGACCTCTCCTGTCACACCCGCTGCTCCCCTCAGCAGTGTACTTCATCGGTCTGCCTGTTCTGTTCTCCGCTGTGGCTCTGGTGAATTCTCTCACCCTCCCGCGCTTCTGACTGTACTCACTGCTTGTATAAATAAATAAATAAATAAACAAACAAACAAACAAATAAATAAATAAATCTTAAAAAAAAAAAAGGGAATTTTTGAACAAATGCGATTTGCTAAGGCAAGTAATAAAGATTGAATATCAACTCATTTGCCTTTCCAAAACAGGATTCTCTTCAAAGTTTTTTGTTCATCTGGATCTCGAATTTAAGAATATTTGTGTGACAAGAATTCTGCCATTGCTCTAAAAGACTCCCTTTCATAATTGTCGGCTACCTGCTTTCTAAATCCAATTACAACCCAAAAAGTGGGGGTGAACAGCAAGTCTATTCTATGTTGGTGCATTGGGGCCATATGCTCCTACTCCCCACTATTCAAAGGATTCATGAACTTGAAAAGGAGCAGAAAAGACAGCGTGTAGGGACAGCAGCAGGGCACACATGTGTATTTCAGATAAACTGGTAGATGACCTTCAAAGTTCCAGGTCTTTCTCCATCTTTCAAAGTTCACATAGCTACATCAGCATGTTTGGTGCCCCAACTAGGAGTTGTATAACATTAGAGAAAAAATAAGAAAGACCTGGCCCTTATCAATTCAGTGAAAATATTTCCAAACCTAAATAATCATCTGCACTTCTATTTTGAAGGTTATGGGACTCTTCTTTTCACCTGAACATTGTATCACCTTGCTGGCAAAGTGCCTGACACTGAGAAAATTCTAGGTAAATATTGGCTTAACAAACAGATGATGTCTATAGCATGCTTTGCTGGGGGAGAAAGAGGGGAAGTAGTTTTCCTTGCTTATCAGAATTCTATGTCTTAATTAGGGTACATCCACTCAATCATAAGAAAATCTAACAAACAAAAAAAAAGAATATTCTTTAACTCTTTCTTCCTAGGAAGGAAACTGGGGTTTTGGGTGGAAGGGTTTTTCCCCCTACTACAGCTGTCAATGCGACATTAATTCAGATAAATAAAATCTAACCAAATTGCTGATAGTGGATATGAGCTTCATTATTAGCCTTAAAGGTATTCCTTTTAGAGCAATTCAGCAGCACGTTGTCTATCATTCACTATCAAAGTAACCTCATGGCTCAGCAGTCCTCTGAACAATTTACTGCCTTTTTGCCACCAGTGGTCAGATAAGCTATTCTGTCAGTGTTATCCGTGACAATCTTAACTACAATCCAAAATCTGTTTCTCTGTCAATTCTAGGCATACTCAAGTTTCAAAGACAAATGAAAGACAATATAAAAAATACAGCCCACATCATCATGGTAGATTTAATAATCAGTTTTTTTAAAAACACTTGAGCTACATTTTTCCAATAAAATGTATATGTCTATTGTTCCCTATGTTAGTAAAATGAAGACCTAAAAATGAACCAGCATGTTAACATTCTGCTCAGTGACAAAGCTACTGCTTCCAAAGTGAGTTGAGTTCTGCACATAACATATAAGAAGCACGAGAATTGCCCTAGACTCAAGACACAGGAGCCGGTGGAGTATGCCAATAAACTCATGGCCATGTGCTGCATGTGTTCTTTTTTTTGGAGTAAACATAAGTACTGTAAATAGCTGGCTTAGGGTTTCAGGGAAATGTTATCTTGTCTTAGATTTTAATTATTATAAACACCATTTTCTTTCTAAACTTGGTCCCATCTTAAACTCTTCTCTTCCTTATATTCTAGATTCGCAACCTCTGTGGATTCTCCACTCATAAAATCTCAAACCTATCTCTTCTAGTCACCTCGTCGGAATGCTATTATTAGCTATTGCTGATTTGCCTCTTCATCAATGATTGTATTCAGACTCTCTCCTCTCCAGTCCATTGTATACAATCCAGGTGATTTATTCTTAAGAATAAAAATGATAATAATAAATCAAAAAATAGCTACCTATTAGGGGATGCTATGTGCTGAATGTTGTGTCTTATGTAAATAATCTTATTTAATCCTTACGACTATCTAATTAACTAGGTACCACCATTATCCCCATTTTTATTGATGAGAACACTGAAGCCCTATAGAGGATAATTAACTTGACTACAAGGTCATATCTGTTTTTGAACTTGTGAATTTTGTCAGACGTCAAGTTTCCTGCCTTTGCCACTGCAATTCTCTGCCTTCCCAAAACACAGCATGTAGGTTCCCCAAGCGTGCAACTGCCAAACTTCAGATCTATAATGTGACTCCATACCATTCGTGCCTAGGACAAATACAATCTCCAGTTGGATGTATTACTACTGTCTTAGGCTCCTTACTTAGTCCAGGTTCCCATATTTTTGTTCATACCACTGCACTAGCCAGAGCACTTGCTCCCCCATTTTCCCTACCCTGATATCCAAATCCTTGCCCCCTAGATCATGACCTGTTTGTTAACTCCTGGCTCATTCTCTACCACCTCTTCCATTTCCTCTAGCACAATCATCATGTCTGTAAATTCTGCCATCTCAAATAAGATTATGTTCTTTGCATGCAAATGCTGGTGTTTTCATTTCCTTTGTTTGCCATATAATTGCTAGTGATGGTAGACACATAAAGGAAGTGTTCAATAAATATTTGCTAGTGCAAATATAAATACCCTTTAAGACTGTATGAATGTAAAAAGAATGTTCAAAGTCTCCTTTTATACTGTAAGACAGTCAATGACATTTCATGGTTTGTCCATATCTAATTGTATGCTTTGTTCAGCACCTAGCCGATCCTGGCTACTTATTCAAGGGGTCATTTCAATAATAGTAATAACTTCTGTATTCTCATTTCTGCTGTATTTTAAGTTTTCAGAGTTTATTTCATTAAAATGATAGAGCAACAGTAACAAGTGGCAAGTCTCAGAGCCTCAGGTTGATTTGCTTTACAATTATCCACCTTTTAAAATTCAATTTGTGATTCTCTGATTGATAAGAAAAAGGAAACTCCCTTCTTTGTGCCTTAATAACCTTTCCATCTTCTGTTTTTCCTGATCCTTAATGACTAATTTGTCATTGACTTACCTTTTCTTTTCATCTTTCAAGGTTCTCATTGCCAATTCTATTTCATTTGTTTAAAGCTGAGCTTATCAAGACTATGATCCTATTAACTCAACTGTGGCATATAAGCTTTAAGGTACCACAGTTCTGATTCACTGTGTTATTGACAGCTGTCACTGGCCTGATACATCGGTTTTAAAATCTGGCCCAGTCATTCTTCATTTTAAATTAAATAACTGGAATGAAAGATGATCCTTTCAGCAGCATGTTCGACCACAGTGGAAGGAGGGAGAATGGAGTATAACCACAAAGAAAAGCATGGTCCCTCGGAGCAAAGCATCATCAGTGCTGACAGAAATCAGGGTAAGTAGCCTAGGGTCAAGATGGCAACTAACAGCAAAGTGCTTGACCACTCCTGCAGGCCACAGCTAAGTTCTAAACACGGAATGCACAGCTTTATTCTCTACAATTTAGCAATGTAGACAAATGAAGATGTTTGTATTTATCACCCCTACCAGCACATCATCCTGTCCCTGGCAAACAAAACTGGACTTAAAGATTTAAAACCTGACTTCAAGTCCCAGCTTTACCTTGGACAAATCACTAAAACTCAGTTTCCTCATTGCAAAATAAAGATGATCCTCATTCTATTCAAAGGATAGAAGAGAGACCAAAGAGCAATAATAGACATGAAAACAGTTTGAAGGAAAAGTTTTGTACCATACAATGTAAGTCATGTTAGTGTGGTGCTGCTATGATTCCCCTCAAATTACAGAAAGGTGACAAATTTGAAGCATCCATGATACCAGTCACAAATGGAACATCTTTTTCTCTTACATATTCCCATGAAGCTTCCCTTTCAGTTTCTTAATTAGACAAAGTGACCAGGGAGTCTTCTGATGTTTGCAGAATCTTGACCTACTCAATTTTGATCAGCAAGTTCTTGTCCATCCATCATCTAGTCCTTTACAATGACCCAATTTGACATCTCACTTCTGTTCTTTGTGGTCCTCAAACTTCATTAGCTTGACAAGAGCACTAGGTACTAGGTGGCTTATAAGGAGGGGTTAATCCCCAGGTAAACATTTCAAGAAATAAATATAATATCTCACATTTCAAAGTGAAACTGGATTCAGATACTTTTCTTATAATTGCCAAGTAACACAATATGAAAAAAACAGGACTGACCACACATCTTAATGAGTTTTCAATTTACAGAGATTAAGTCCAAATTCTCTCTCAACAGCCAGTTCCAAACAGAAAATTAAAAGACAAAAATATAATTTTAGGTTCACCTTGACTAACTAGTCAGAATTTCCCCAAAAATGGAAATTTTCCATGTAGATAAGCCCATCTCCCTCATTTTGATTCTATACTTACATTTAGCATTAAACCACTTTTGTAATACCAAATAATGATATTGAAAAATCTAGCAGGAAATGCCGGAACAGAAAGGTAAAGAAGCCTCCCATGAAAACAAAGACAAATTCACATCTCTCTAATTGGCTCTGTTGCTGTAGCTACCTTAGACTTGGTGAGTCTTGGGAGTTTTGTGAATAAGCACAATCAATATCAAGTCTGCTGTCTAAGTGCCTGGTTCATTATTATGACAAATATATAAAACTCTATCTTACCCGTACAGTAAGTCAGACTACCCTTAAATCTCTACTGTGTGGGAAGTAGCAATGTTCTGATACCAAGAAACCTCACCCCTATTTTGAAGTTCTTTGAATAGATGCTACGTGGAGTTCTATCCTCAAGCGAGCAGAAATCAGTGGCTTAAAGTAGACTCTGAGGCGCAACAGCATCACTTGTGATAAAGGAAATACACAAAAAGGAGGGGAAGGCACGCCAATTCTGACCTCACCTTTTGCTCGCCACGGAAGAAATCCTTTAGAGCTACGAATGGATTTCTGAACCACTCCACTACATCCTTAAGTTTCAAACTAAAACTTCCGAAGAAAATAAGGAAGATACTGAAAGCAGCCTAGCTACTATTCTCCACGTCAGCTCTGCACTGAAATTAGGTGCCAGCGTCCCGCCTGATCTTCGGGGTCAGCGGGGAGAGCGAAGATTTCTCATGCTTAAGAACTCCAAACTCTTCAGGGTCCAGTATTTTGTGCGCCCCTGATTCTTCCCACCAGCCAGGGCTCTACATATTTGGTCTCTACACAGGTTGGGTTGTCACTGAGGAGGATGCACAGAAGACATCTGGGCACCTCCAGGCAGCACTGCCCAACCATTCTGGAGCCTCTGGCAGAGCCAGACCTCCTCTGCGTTTAACCTCCAGGCCATCCTTGCAATTGAGTAACCTTTGCAAAGAACCTCTTCCAGCGGTGCCCTGGAGGACCAGTCAGGATTTGAGCAAGGAGGTTCCGTGGTATTTCTGCGCTAAACATTCAACTGTTTGTTTTCTGCAAAGTAACACAACACATTTCGGGGGCCTCGGCAGTCCCCATACGCTTCTTGGCTGCAGGGAACTGATTAGCATCGGGGGAAATTGGGATCAATCGTTTGAAAGGAGCAAATTGTAGTCTTGGGGAACTTCTCTATCACCGCTGTGAGAGTGGGAGGGGAGGAAGAGAAGAAAGAAAAGCCCACACAAAGCAGCCAGCTCTGCAAGCTCCGCCAGCACAAAGGCCCGCTCGCTAGTGCGGAGCCGGGAGGCTGGGCTGGAGCTCGGAGTGCAGCGAGTCCTCGGAGGCCTGCGCACCGCGCCCGACGCTCCCGGAGCTGCCCCAGCGCACCCCGCGCCCGGCACCGCGTTCCGGCGGGGCGCTGGGCGCACTCCTGGAGCGCCCCGGGCTGTCGCGCTCCCCGGGCTGCACCGCTCCCAGAGCGACCCCGCGCTGCCCGGACTCCGGCTCCACGACTGCCCTGACTCCGGGTGAGCAGCCTCGGTCGCCCGAGTGGCAGGAGCCGGGCCCGTCCTCACCTGTGCGCCTTCAGCCGAGCAGCGCGCAGTGGAGAGCGGCGGCGCCGGCGCTCGGCATCCCCGCGGCGGCCCCTGCAGCGGTGGCGGCTCCCTCCGCTGTCTGGGACGCCAGGGGGAGGGCGCTTCGCTTTGTTGCTTATTCATGAGGCCGCGGCTACGGCTGGGGATTGGGCGGTGGGGAGATGCGCCCGCCCCGACTCTGCTGGCACTGACACCCGATGCCGTCGCCCCACGCCCCTCCGCGCCCACTTCCCCGCCTCTGCTGCGGCTCCGGGGGCCGCGCTGCGCCGGCGGGTCTCGCTCCCGGCCGGGGGCCGGGCTCCCTTGCGAAGACCCTCCCCGCCTCCGCCCTGCAGCCCCTCTTCGCAGCCTGGGCTGCTTCTGCGGCAGCGTCTCCATCAGTGCCTGGGGAAAAGAGAACAGGTCACTGTTTTCGCTAGAAGATCCCGAATTTCGCTGGTCCTTGGTTAGGGCAAGGGACGCAAGTCGGAAGGTGTAGGATGTCCCTTGTGCGGCTTAGCCGTGCCCCTAAGTAGAACCCAGTAAAGTGAACCTACGCAAAGTGTTCCTTTCTCCACCATTCTGAGAAGTTGCAAATAAGTGCTAATAAGGAATACGGTTTATTGAGCTCTTACTCCTGCCAGGCACAATGCTTCGCTCATTGCCTGCTTAATCTACCGAATAACCTTGAAATATAAATATTGATGATCCCCCATTTAACTGGGGAGGAAGTTGAGACTTGAAAACTGTGTAACTTGCTCAGAGACTTAATGGCTAACGTGGTCCCCAGGAATTCAGGAATTCATGACCTCCATTCTTGAGTTTTTCGGAGTCTCGATTTCCTTTTCTATGGCTCCTAATTGTGAGTAGAAAGAGTTGTCAGGAATGTGAAGGCCCCTCTAGAACAACCCCCACAGTACCGTGCTTTCCATACTTTATCTCCTATACTTTTTAGATCTCTCCTTTATAACAGCGATTTTAGCCCTGTTTTATCATTTGTAAGCAACTTGAAGTCAGGGCAAGGTCTTGTTCACCTTTGACCACACACACACACACACACACACACACACACACACACACACCTAACACACAGATGAGTCTGCACTATGATCTTACCTATTACATTCCTTTTAGAAGATACTATCTTTGTATTTCCAGAAAGATAGTTAAAAATAGTTGAGAAATGGAATGTGATTGAGTTGAATTAAATATATAAGGCTTGTTTTTGATGTGTGTTCAATGTAATACAATATAATATATTGTGCTGTGACCAAGCCTTCTACCTAAATTCAATACCCACCTGGCGGGTAAGCCACACCCAACCCAACCAAGCTGTATTTGAACATTTTATTTTTAAGTAAGTGGTTTGAAAACAGTGTTATATAGTATTGTGAGATTCCCCAGCTAGACCACAAAATTGGATCTACTTAACTCAAGTTCAGGCAAATAACAATACTAACAGAAAAATGACCTGATCAGTCAGGTTGGACCAAAGGAACAAGAAGACTGGAAAAAGGCAGCAGGAGGAAAAAGATTCCAGCTCCCAGACACCTAGCACCAGCCCTACACCCAAACTGGAACTATTCCTTTTCTTTGACATCTTTCTGCCTCCTGTTCTGCAACTTCCCTCCCCAACATCCTACTGTTTTCCTTAGAGACCCATGGTAATCCAAATCCCAACAACAGAAATCCACTCTCCAGACATACCTTACACTGTTTTTCATTCTCCAGAATTACCCTTTTCCATAATAGAATTCCTATTTTCCTAATCTTCAATGCAAATTATTTCTGCTTTGCTGGAAAAAAACAACTTTTATTGGCGCTCACTTATTCCAGTCTTTTATCCTTCCTGAAATGGTTTGTATTGCTTAAACGACCCTGATTAGTGCAGTTTATCACAACAGCTGCTGTTGGTTACATAGCAGTGATAATACGATCTGCACCAGCACACTCACAAACTGTAAATCAGGAGAATTGTATCCTAAAAGTAAAATTAGTAAATCCATATACAACAAATGTTACTAACCTTTTATGTGTAAAGCAAGAAATTGTATGTGTATGTCAAAATAATTTGAGACTATCCAAAACTCCAAGCAGAGCCGGGGGTGGAATGGGGAATTCAAGTATTCAGCTTTGGGGTTGCCAGATTTATTAAATAAAAATGGAAAATCTCCATTTGATATTTGGTACATATTTATGCTAAAAATTATTTGTTGTTTATCAAGTATTCAAATGTAAACTGTATAACTTGTATTCTATAGTAAATTTGTTTAGGTAATTACTTAGTTCTGATTGTTAAATCTTTTGGGTCAGAAAGGAACTGGTCACCTGTAGTAAAGAACAGAATAACCAACCCCAAGAGCTGGGAGTAGACAATTCAAGTACCACCCAGAGGGGAGAGTCTCAGCAATGCAGACAAGCATTGTGATGTCTCTGGCAAGACTATCGCTATACTATATATATTAACTAATTCTCTGTATTGTGAGTTCCAAGTACTAAGAAACTATCTGACCATTTGACTGTACATAGATATTGCCCATAAGGCTGAAATGAGTCCACATGAGTTGGCATTTATCTGTCACCAATGTCCACAAAATTGGGTTTCTGGTCTTGCAAAAGAACAAGATCCTGGGTGGGGATAATATCACCAAGGTAAATGTTACTTTATAATAGCTCCTGAAAATTAGCTGACAGGAATTCCCCAGACTCTGCCCTTAGGGTGCAGACTTACTTTACAGTGTAAATAGTATTGCTAATACTATGGGTATTATATAGTATTGCTAATACTATGGGTATTATATACATTCTGGGTGTGAATAAACACTCCTGAAGGTATTGTTTTATTTTTGTTTGTTGTGACAAGCATGTAAAGCAATAAAACAAAACAAAATGAGGCACAAGAGGGGAAATGTTCTTGGAAGATTGAGTTTACCTGTAAACTCCTCAAAATTATCCTGTCACTCAATGATTTTTTTTTCTCTCTAAAACTCCTTCCTTCGATGTTGTTCTTCTTATAGACTTCCAAGGCACCCAACAAAGAGTTCTGGACATGGAACAAGGACAGGAGCTGTTCTGCAAAGCAGGGTTTATTTGCAAATTGAATATTCAATTCTAACCTACAAAAATTTGTCTTTCCTTTCTGGTCATCCCAAAAGCTTATGAACAGATAATTTTCAACATCTCCTGATGTTCACTGCCCAACTGCTTTCTGACTCAAATTCTCTTTAGAGACATCCTCATTGCTTTCAACTTTTCAAGCTGAAATTCCCAGAAGTAAGCTTCAATGTAAAACAATATTGCTAAATATACTCTACTCATTCCAGGTTATCAATAAATACTTGATGATTATGGTGATATTGTAAATAATGGTAATGATGTGAGAATCAATTTTATTCATCACATCCAAGCCCTCAGAACACTTAACATGACCTATATCAGTGCTAATGAGCTTAGACCATTTCCTACTAAATTATGTCTATAATATGCAATTCATTGGGAAGACAAGTAGGTACAAAAACAACAAAATTGTTTTCCTTAAACGAATCTTTGGAACAGCAAATTTTATGCACTGTAGTTGCTTTTAACTATTAACTCCAGCCTACTATATATATCTACCTTTATTATTTAATTGTTATTGTGAATTGTCATTGTTATTGTGAATTGTAATTATGAATTGCCTTGCTTTTATGCTCTCCCCAAGTATAAAAGCAGAATATCATATGTCTTCAGCTCCTTCTTTTAAAAATCTGTTCTTTCTGATATTTTCTTATTAAGTATTAGATTTCTTTAGGTCCTGAACTCTTTGATTTAGTTCTAACAAATAGTATTTTATATGGTGCCCTGAAAATAAAGCAAGATAAGAGAGAAAGGGCTACCAATTCAGTTTAAAAAAAAAAACCACCAAAATGTCTAAACAGCAGAGCAATTTAAAAAGAAACTTTTCAGATAAAGTCAAGGGTAAAAACATTTGCAAGAAAGAAATGTTGCTCCCCCCCTTTTCTTGGTAGTCTCAAATAATATCCTTGTGAGACTGCCTATAAAAATTCTTTTTAAGAGATTTAAACATCAAAGATCTAATGTATCCTGTGGTATATACTTAATCCTAAATGAATTAGTCATCATAACACTATGTTCAAAATGCCACCTGTAACTCTAGAAAAGATATGAGTTGCTTTTTACTATATGGAAAAAAGTCTTATCTCCATCCTTATCTCTCTCTTATATGCCCAATGGTAAATAAATAAATGAATTTAATACATTTTCTATCTTATATAATGAGCATGAATTATTTATTATTGACATAATGGTATGCATATCTACTAAATATGTTGCAAAGAAAGACTGTTTACGCTTCTCTGTCTCTGCCAAGAAGAGAAATAAAGAAAAGGGCTTTGTCAGGAACAAGAAAGCTCAGGCCCCAGAAAGCACTCTTGTCAGAAAAATTTCTTGTTGGAGACTGCAATAGATTAGTGAAAGAAGTTATATATTGTTTTTTGTACTAAATTTCTAAAAAGGGTGAATTTCAATCCAGCAAGCTGTAGGTTTCTGATGAAACATCATTAACTCATTCAGCAAGGAAATTATGGGAATAGTGGCAAGTGTGAGAAAGCAATCTAATGTATTTACTGCAGGTAACAGCATTATTGCTTATTGTCTTTTTACCAACAAATGTTGCTTATTTTATTCTTAAAGAATATGATTCAGGTATTAGCATCACATTCAGAAAAATACAAGAGTATATTCAATAACAACAGATTTACAGCAAAAGTAAAAAATAGAATACTATTAATTGATTATCAGTACATTTTGATGAAACTGTACTTGAAACTCATTACCAGAATAATACCAACAATTTGAACATTGGTTGACCAGGGTTTAAATAATAACACATGTAAATCAGTGCCCCAAAAAAGACGTTAAGTATACTACTCAACCTCTTTGTCAAAATTCCTTGTCCCTATAAATTTTAGCCAATTCTTCTGGCCAGACAGTCCTTTTTTTTTTTTTTTTTTTTGAAGTTTTTTAAATTTATTTTTTTAAAACAATATTTGCTTCCCCCCACCCCCTCAGATTGAGTCCCC